CTGGTGCCCTAACCACCAAGCCTATTTTAAACATTTAAAATGCTTTTTATTGTAGTTTTAGATTTATAGACAGAGCCACTTTTGAATATTGTTTCTCCCCACCCCTGGATTGTTTTATCTGTAAGTAACCAAGAGCTATGAGTTCTACTTCTGAAATTTTTTTTGCCTATCTACTTTCTCCGTTCAAAAGGCTGTCATTATCACCCATAATACTGCAGAAGTCTCTTGCCACTTTCCAATCCATTCCAAAACAGAAATCTAGTAATTTTTTAAAATGTTTAACGTTGTACCTCTATATGCCTCCAAGATATATTCCAAACTTTTTGGCACAACGTATAACATGTCTAGCTCTTCCCTATTGTCTGATCTGTTCTCCCTCCCTCTCTCAGTCTCCTAGTTCATCTCCATCTCAGGCCCACTGAGTATTAGCCAAAATACATCTGCTTGTTGCTATCCAAAGGGTATTTCTCACCTTCTCTTTCATCATCCTTTAAAACTCAGAAGCTGTCTTGGGTTCTCCAAAACAGAGTTAGTTGCTCTTTCTTCCTACTTTTTTTTGTGTGTGTGTGTGTGACAGAGTCTTACTATGTCGCCCTCAGTAGAGTGCTGTAGTGTCATAGCTCACAGCAACCTCAAACTCTTGAGCTTAAGCGATTCTCATGTCTCAGCCTCCCCTCAAGTAGCTGAGACTACAGGCGCCCACCACAATGCCTGGCTATTTTTAGAAACGGGGTCTCGCTCTTGCTCAGGCTGGTCTCGAACCTGTGAGCTCAGGACAATCCACCAGCCTCAGCCTCCCAGAGTGCTAGGATTATAGGTGTGAGCCACCGTGCCTTGCCCTGATTTTTAAATACTTTTTATCAAAATAATAAATAAGGCTCAGGGCCCATAGCTCAGTGGTTACAATGCTGGCCACATACACCAGGGATAGTGGCTTTAAACCAGCTAAACAACAATGACAATTTCAAGAACAACAGAAAAATAGCTGGGCGTTGTGGTGGGTGCCTGTAGTCCTAGCTACTTGGGAGGCTGAAGCAGAAGAATCGCTTAAGCCCAAAAGTTTGAGGTTGCTGTGAGCCCTGACACCATGGCACACTACCAAGGGCAACATAATGAGACTCTGCCTCAGAAAAAAAAAAATAATAATAATACATCAGATAGTACTAAGATCTTATAGGAATGAAAGGCAACAATGTCTTGCCGCATTTCTGAGTCCCACTGCTCTGGACAGCCACTTTCAGCTTTACTATTTCTAAATAAAAAATGTATTTCTATTTCTTCATTTTCAATTGCAAGGATCGTCTGTGACCTCCTGCCCAGGTAGATAAGTGTTTTTGCACTATTTCTCCAGTAAGTTAGTTGCTTCTTTTCTTTTGGTCGGATATTACTTTGTGGCTCTATTATAGCACATGCCTTAAGACACACACACACAATTTCTCTCTCTCTCTCCTATGCAAAATAATTGCTGCATATCTGAGACCTCAGCTATTCTGTATAATGTTTAGATTCTGTCTCTGCTGCCATACCTGAACCCAGCATGGTACCTACCTCATAATGAAAATGGTTATTTTTTAGAAGGTATTTCCATGCTTGCTTTTTGTTTGAATAAATGAATATTTTTCTTTACTAACAGTTCAAACAATGCTGTGGAACCAAAATAATATTAAGGCTTCTAAAACTAACCGAACAGGGCTGGGCATGGTGGCTCATTCCTGTAATCCCAGAACTCTGGGAGGCTGAGCTAGGTGAATTGCTTGAGTTCAGGAATTTGAGGCCAGCCTGAGTAAGAGTAAGACCCCATCTCTATCGAAAATGGGCAAACTGGCTGGGCCTTGTGTCAGGTACCTATAATCCCAGCTATTTGGGAGGCTGAAGCGGGAGGATCATTTTAACTCAGGTGAGGTTGCTATGTGCTGTGATGCCACGACACTCTAGCCTGGGCAACAGAGTGAGACTCTGCCTCAAAAAAAAAAAAAAGAAAAGTCTCAAAAAAAATGTATGAATGAATAAATAAAAATTAAAACAATAAAAATAACTGAACAGAATCAACACCAATGGAGTAGGCTGGGAGGAGGCTTAGAAAAGGGGAATCATGGACCAGGCACAGTGGCTCATGCCTGTAATCCTAGTACTCTGGGAGGCCAAGGCAGGTGAATTGCTTGAGCTCACAAGTTTGAGACCAGCCTGAGCAAAAGCAAGGCCTCATCTCTACTAAAAAATAGAAAAACTTAGGCAAGAGGATTGCTTGAGCCCGAATTTGAGGTTGCGGTGAGCTATGATGCCACAGTACTCTACTCAAGGCGACAACTTGGACTCTGTCTCAGAAAAAAAAAAATTCTTTTTTAAAAAGGAATCATGCAGTGATTTTTAAAAAAGGAATCATTCTGGGTTCAATAGGTACCACATCAAGTATCTTTTCTTCTTCATCTTTTTTTAAGAGACAGAGTCTCATTTTGTTATTCTCAGTAGGGTACCACAGCTCACAGTAACCTCCAACTCCTGGGCTTAGGTGATTTTCTTGCCTTAGCCTTCCGAGTAGCTGGGACTACAGGTGCCCGCCAGAACTCAGCTATTTTGTTGTTGCAGTTAGCCAGGGCTGGGTTCGAACCCACCACCCTCAGTATATGGGGCCAGCGCCCTACTCACTGAGCCACAGGCGCTGCCCATCAAATAACTTTTCATTATTAGGTCTTGAATCTTGTGAACGCTAAAGATTCTTGAGAGTCTACCCAAATGCTAAGAGAAGATGGTACTTTCTGTACTGCCAAAGATCCCACAGCCTGGCATGCTTGGTCCCTGCTAGAGTTGGTCAGCCAGCCACATTTCCTGGCCTACGGGCTTTACCCTTTACTCTGCAAAGTGGACTCCATAAGCAGTTTGCTCAGTACTCACCAGCATCTCCTAGTATAGTGAACATAATATTCCATAAAATAACATTTCATACTCTTTAAATGTTAATTTTCAATTGTGGACAGTATAATGAAGTACAAAGTGGGCTGCATCTTTTGTTTTCCAGGCTTGGACTAAATGTATATTCCATTTCTGTTTCTTTAGGCAATGGCAGCAGATAAAAGTGATGAGTGGTTTGCTAAACACAATAAACCGAAGGCTTCAGGTTAACAGAAGACATCACGTGGAAGAAGCATTTGTGATTCCCATCCGGCACCTGGGAGGCCTGATGATGATAAACGTTCTCACCACTTGGTGGTTTCCTATACAGGCTGGGAGGCCTGAGTGATGAAGATTTGTATATTTCAATCTTTGAAAGCTCTGATGTATCTTAAAAATAAAATATCATTAATCCAGGCAGGGCAGAACTCTTGCTGTAATCTGTGCTGTCACTGGAATGGTACGTCCTATGTGTAACAAATTACTTTCCAGATTAGGACAGCTGTATGATACATTACCTTTGTTTGGAGATGGAAGTCGTTTTGATGAACTGTGAATCATGTAGATTTTATGAGAACACCTGTTCAAATGAATTCTAATCAGTTGTTTATAATGGTACATTTAATACTCCTAGCACCTAATGACCATACTTTCTTCTAATATCTAGTGGCAGGTCTTGACATTTAAAAAATTTTTAAAGGAATTTTGTTTCTTAGACCAACAGATTTGGTTAAGATCCTCTGTCTTACTTGTTTTTACATTTTGAGTAGCCAGAGAAAGGATTTAATTTGTTGTGTTGCTACATGCCTGGCTTTGTGCTGTTTCTTTTTTTTTTTTT